AATAGCCAAATGACAATTGCCACAGTTATTTGACATGCTTTAATTTACCTGAAAAGTATCATTTGAAATGATTATATTACTGTTTGCCAACTGTAACTATACTTGTGCTTGTAATCATGTGATGGGTGTAGCTCTTCCCAATTTATGCTAAGCATACTTAAAAAGGGAACAATCGAACACGTTGTGGACATGGGTTTAACCGGTAACTTGTTTAAAAGGATAATGGTAATTCACTCTTTAACACTTAAGTGACCTTGATGGGTTTGAGCTTCATTTGAATATACCAATGCTAATTTAGTTCTGATTAAGTAATATTGGAAAATCTTTTTTAAAATACATACACTGATTAATTAACAAATTATTTTTCTGTCACCAACGAACAGTTAGATTTGGGTCTTAAACTACTTAATAAATTTCTAGTTTGCAAAACATCACTTTTGCCATTAAAGACCATATGATATGTTTAAAAGGCAAAGCCCTACGCACTAAACTTATTACCAATATAAGTCCAATGAGGAATAGAATTGGGTTTTAAACAGCTCACATTTGGAACTAGGTGAATTTGGGCTGTAAAGTCTGTTTGGAGTCAACGGAGGAGGTATTGGATGTGGTGATTGAGGTGAAGATGTCAATGGTTGTTTTGGGTGTGATGATCTTGATCGTAGAAAGTTTGTGTTTGATATTTGTGTGGCCAAAACGATATTTAAGTATGCGATTACACTTAAAGCTCCACCGGCGTCGTCATCTGCAAGAGAAAGTGGAAGTGGTAGTGGGAGTGGGGGTGGTGGAGGAGATAGTGGTGAGGTAGGTTTATTAAGGATGGTTTGAGAGTTGAGAGAGAAAAGACAGACGGTTGAAAAGTGGGGTTTGAGTGATTTGGAGTGAAGAATGAGCAAATGCAGGAGTTAAGTGGAGTGAAATTGGAGAGTGATGCAGCCGAGTAAGTCATAGCAGGTGGTCTCAGTGTAGCAAGTCGTGAGGCATATTGAGATGGAGGATGTGCGAGTTGCAAGTGCCGTCTCCAGGCTCGATGAAGAGTGGTTGAGTTGGTTGAGGTAAACATGTAGTTGGGGTGGTGGTGATGGTGGAGAAGAATAAGTTGAAGATTGGGGGGGGGGAGAATTTGGACGTAGATAAGTAGGTGTTGATGGATGTGCTAGAAGTGGTTGTGGTGGTGGTGCGGTAGAGTGAAGATGCACCTTTCTTTAGATCTAGGGCATGTTGTGCAGAGTGTGAATGACATTGATGTAAATTTTGTTAAGTTTCTTGGTGGGGGAATATCGTAAGACGTTTGTGTGAAATATTCGTAAGTGAAAAATATGTTAGTTTGTGGAGGAAAGGATGAAGTATTTGCAGTTTAGGTAGAGGTGATTGTGGTTCATATGGAAACCATTATATAGAATGTAAATGGATATTAGAATTTAAGCTTTGGCTAAAAAAGAATATTTTCTTAATTTGCATTTAATTTAATGTATTTGTCCAGTATTCAGTGAACCTTTCTAAAATAGCATTCGGATAGAAAACATTGAGGTTAATAAAGCTAAATATTTTTCTTCAAATAACAAAAAATTATTGTCGAACTTTTAACCTACTTTGCTAATTACAAAATGTTTGTGGAAATTTCTCTTAATTTATTCAAGAATATTATATCCCTTATTCATACGAAAATTGTTTCTTTCCGATTAATAAAAGATCTTGTCTGTCGTTATTCTGATTTTAATTCATAAATCGTCAACATATCCAGTCTTATAATTTATTTATCGTTAGTAATCTTTTTCGGTCAATTAACTATTGTTCAATCAAAATCACAGTTTTTCAATAGAATCTCAGCTTACGTTCTCCATCATATATTAAATAAACTTGAACAAAAGACGCTCAACCTGTATTTTCAAGCTATTTATTTCATATAAATTTAATATTCATTTAGATGTCATATTTTAGTATAGCCACATAGGAAGATTTATGATATCTGATTCGATTTACCCAAGATACACTTGTTCTAAGAGAGTAGCTCAATTACCTCGTTTAATAAAGTTTTTACTTAAATTATATTTTGTGGAAAGTTCTTTTACGAATTACTTTATTACTTGATAACTTCAAGTTTTCTGTTAGATATCCAAATAATCTTTATGCTACACCATGTCAAGGTCAACTTAAAACGCCTTTATGGACACAATGTTTCATCCAAAATTTACGTTTTTAACACTTTAAGTAGAGTTAGACTACTTTTTCAACCTCTCAGGGAAAGGTAATTTAATTGCAGTTTGAGAAATACTAATTATCAAGGTATTCATACTTAAACTCCAATTTCTTTAAAATTATTCCCACTCTCTTCTATTTACAATCATTTCCAAAGCACGATTCTTTATTATCCGCCTACATCTGCTTATTTCAAATAAAAGATTTACAAAAATTAAAAAATTATATTCATTTAAAGAGTTATAAATTAAACTAATTGACAGAAAGTGTATGAGCAAGATTGAAACTGGCATTTAATTTCTTAAAAAATTTCTGATTTAATTCAATTAGTAGTTTCACCGAATCGATTAAAAAATACTTCTATTTCGGTTGATTAGCTGGAATGCGAGGATTAATTAAATTTATCACAGTTAATTTGGGTCTAAAGAGAAATTTGAATAATGATTAGTTCAATATAAAATTGTTAAATTTCATTAATTTCTCAAATATTTATAGTTATTATCAAACTTTTGCTTACAAGTTTAATCTAATCTTAAAGATGGTACTTTTTATTAGTAAAATATTAAGTTGGTTTGTATCGAAAACATATTTGATATCAAAGAATAATTGAAAAACATGGTTTTCCTTAAACTCTATTGGTTCACTCATATTTAATCATTCAGTACAAACTATTTTATGCATTTTTGTTGTTTATGGGACAGACAAGCATTAAATATTAATTATTATTATTTCAAATTGCAGTCTTTATCATCAGCCTCTTAATTGACTTCGGACTTCACAAGGGGAGGGGGAAGAGAGGAACATATAAAGCAGTCAATTAATATCAGTTCAATAGTTCTCTTCTGGCTTCTTAGTATCTCTGGGTTTCGGTCGTCATCTTTAAGGCTGGACACCGCATAAAGTGAGTATTCTACATTTTCTCCTGTTGAACAAAGAGGGAGCATGCTGATTAAGTGTATACTCCTATTCTGTGAAGGTGTTTTGCCAGACAATCGTGTGCGATATGTAGTCTAAACTCATCAACGGCTTCTATTCCCGGCCAGTCTGCTATGTCGCAGAGTGCCACTGTCTACCAATTCTCCTTTCTTCGATCTTTAAGTTCGTTGCAGCTTGAGGGCTAGAATTCTCTCCTGCATAAGACCTTTATTGTGTAGAAAGACATCTGCCAGTCCATGCATTGCAAAATCGTTGTCCCCTTCTTAGCAGGCGGTCCATGCATTGCAAAATCGGTGTCCCCTTCTTAGCAAGTGTGTCAGAAATCTCATTGCCTTTAATGCCATAGTGACCAGGAATCCATTATATCAATGTCTGATAATGGATTCATGGGTAGAGAGAGGCTTCATTGCCTTTATTGCTACAGTGACCAGGAATCCATTGTAGGACCATTGTTTTGTTTTCTCTCTCAGCAGTTGATAGAGTTTCCTACATTCTTTTATCTCATCTGTTTTGGGTGGCTCTCTGTATTTAATTGAGTTCATTGCGGACTGTGAGTCCAAAAGTATCACCGCTTTGGTAAATTTCGTATCCAGGCAACATAACTGGCATAGTGGTATCCTAATGGCCTCTAATTCTCCTTCGAAAGCCGATCTATTGTGTCAATGCTGCTGCGTAGAAAGACAAGATTTCAGAGCAGATACCTGCACCCACGTTTTCTTGATTTTCTATGAATGACCCGTCAGTGAAGACTTGAAGCCATTGATCTGCAGGATATATGGCAATGATTGCCTCAAGGGCCAGTGAGCGCAATTGTCCGAGAGGGTTATTTGTTTTCCTGAAGTGGTCAAGCAGTTGGTTGCAACACACTACATCAGTGTCCGCTAATGGATTCACGGGTAGAGAGAGGCTATTCGGTTCGTCATCTATTCGTAAAGCTTTCTTCAGTTCAATGACTTTCTATATTAGACCAGATTGTGTTTTTAGTTGTCTTGGTCTATTTTCGTAGGCGCTGAAGAATTTATCCATGAGAATGTTCAGTATCTTCTAATGCATGATGGAGGCTCTCTTTGATAAGGAAACATATTGTGGTGCTTCTGTAACTAGGAGCATTGCATCAATGGGTACTGTTTTTATCTCTCCAGTTGGTTGTGTGCCTTCTCGAGGGGTTAGGGAGTCACCTCTGTGGCTGTAATGAGTGGCTCACAGCAAAACGGCTGAATATTTCACAGCAATACAACATTATTGGCTAAATAAACATCTTGTTAAGTGGTCCTAGAGTTGAGCGTGCACAGCCCCATACGCTCCAACTGACGCTTCATGACATTCCGTCTATTGGAGACTCGTTCTGCTATTTTAGCAATCGAATATTAAAGATTCGTTCTGTTATTTTAACAATGTGACTTACCATGCTAGCTTTGTGACAAACGTCATTCCGAGATAAGTGAACTCACTTGTGTTTCTTGGGTAGTATCCTTTTACCTTAGAAAAGGGCTTATGCTGTAATGGGCAAACGGTAAAGACCTTTTGACAATAAACTTCAAACAAGTCCCCTCAACTTCAACCAACATCCTGAAAAACTTTGCAACGATATCACGAATATTATGATCAGATGTGCAAAGAAAACTACTGGGAAGACTAAACACTATCGAGTGTTTTGGTCTAAACACCCGAGTATTATGATCAGATGTGCAAAGAAAACTATTCCCCGAGGCTCATGATTAGATGTGCAAAGAAAACTATTCCCCGAGGCAAGATTACACACTATCGAGTGTTTTGGTCTAAACACCTTGAGGTAGCAAATATTATGATTAGATGTGCAAAGAAAACTATTCCCAGAGGCAAGACTAAACCAATATCTAGATAGTCTAAACACCTTGAGGAACTGAAAAGAAAGCGGGACGTTCTAGACACCTTGAGGAACTGAAAAGAAATCGGGACGCCCTGTGAACACCTTGAGAAACTGAAAAGAAAGCGGGACGCCCTTGAACAACTTGAGGAACTGAAAAGAAAGCGGGACGCCCTTCACATTACCCATAGGCAAGACTAAACACTATCGAGTGTTTTGGTCTAAACACAACTGAATGTAAGAGGGACGCCCTTCGCAACACTGCTGATCAGACTGGAAGACGCCCTTCGCAAAACTGCTGATCAGACTGGAAGAACAAAGCCTGGAGACGACAATCAGCTGTCCTAAGGCAAAATTCATCCAATCTTACAAGCTAAACGAACTTCCTTCGACAAGTTCATCTCTATCAATGTGATAGCCACAGTCAGCAATAAACTCAATTGGAAACAGAGAGCTACCCAAAACAGCTGAGATAAAGGAATGTAGAAATCTCTATACTGAGAGAGAAAATAACAAAACAGTGGTCCTACAATGAATTCCTGGTCAGTTAGAAAAACAAAACAGTGGTCCTACAATGGATTCCTGATCAACGGTCATCAAAGACAATGATCTTAATGGATTCCTGAAGAGAAAAACAAAACAGTGGTCCTACAATGGATTCCTGGTTGAGACAGAAAAACAAAACAGTGGTCCTACAATGGATTCCTGATCAACGGTGCTTAAAGACAATGAGCTTGCTGACACACTTGCTAAGAAGGGGAAAACGATTTCGCAATGCATGGACCGGCAGATGTCTTTCCACACAATGAACACCTTAATCAGGAGAAAATTCCATATCTCAAGGTGCTACGAACCTAAAGCTCGAACAAAGGAGAAACAGTGGACAGTGGCACTCTCTGACATACCCAACTGGCCAAGAAGCGAAGCCGTTGCTGAGTTTAGACTACGTACCGGACACGGTTGCCTGGCAAAACACCTCCACAGATTGGGAGTATACACTCAACCCAAATGCCCTCTATGTAACCCACAGGAGGAAATGGTGAAGACCCACCTGACTTGGTGTCCAGCCCTAAAGACAACGACGGAAAGCCAGAGATACTGGGAAGCAAGAAGACGGCTAATGAACTGCTATTAATTAACTGCTATAAATGTACCCCCCACCCATTTGGGAAGCTGAACTCAAAGTTTAAGTTCTAATGATAAATATCATATAGCCTGCCATTTGAAATAATTAAATATTGTTGGCCTTAAGAAACCAGATCGCCTCCTGTTAAACATTCTGTCCATAAGCTTAGCCATCACATTTGTGAAGGAGATAGACAGCGTTGTTAAAGTGGCAAGGGTCTTTGCTCTTTTTTAGAAGTGGTATTACTATGGCAACTTTCCATTGCTAAGGTTAAGCTTTCCTTAGGTCAGCTGACTGCTGTCTCCAGTCTTGTGCGTATTCCGTTCTTTCAGTCGGATAAGCAGTGTTGCAATGTCTTCCTTAATTTTACCAAACTGTCTACGTGGAGGCACCCCTTATTAAAAAAATTGATCAACCTATTGCTTCGTCATTTCATTTTGAGTTGGATTGATTTACATACTTATAAAATGTATTCATGTTTCTATTAGATTTCCAATACTATTTATTTTATTTCTTATTAAAGGAAATAATTTGAATTACATTTTCATTGTTATATAAATTACTGTTTTATAGTTTCAACCTTTTCTTCCTCAGCCGATATAATTTTCTGCATAGAATGCATTGCTATTTGTTATTCATTAATCTGTATCTTTATTAACATAAAAAATTTTTGTCTTCTTCAAAGTTGAAACTTAAGGGTGCATTTTATTTTTATCTTTGTTGACTTTCGAAGATGAATTGCGGCTGGTCATTCGTCATGATATTCGTATTTACTTATTCTGTTTACCAAATTAAGCATCATTATATGAACGTTATCCAAGCTCACTTTAAGGTTGTGGTAATGTTTCTGGATAGGGTGGTTTGGGATATGGTCTATCTGGACATAGTGAAACTGGATTAAGTCTTTCTGTATACAGTTGAAGATATCATTCAGCCTTTCGAAGCAATTATTACGGGAGTGGAAGTATTGGTGGAGGATGCTCTTTCGGCACTAGATCTGATGGTAGTAATGAAGGCTGGAAAAGACTTTACCTATAATTTAAATATTTAAATTTGATCGTCAAGTATTTCATGGAAGCATTTTTTAATACATCAAGTAGAGCAAGCCTTCATTTCACTTTAAATTTTGCGTTTATGACCTCATTTTGTTAATCAAGCATTTTTAAGTAATGCAAAATTTATCTCATCGATTAAAGGACAAAGTTGTGCAGATTGCTAAAGACATGTCAAATAATAAACGAATTCAAATGAACTGCCTAAGTTTTTCTTTCTCAAACGCTCCAAATTCGTACGTTCTACTACGCTTTTAGGCATTCGTTTTCTTATTTATGAAAGCGGAAATTATACTGGGAAAAGAACTGAGAATATTATGCTTCATATTCAAATACTATATCAACAAATATAATACATTTACCAACCATGTGTGTGGTAAATGAAATATTTTCTTGGCAAATGGATCTTAATTATAGAATGTGTGGGACACGTTACCGCTGTGTTCGTCATCGTATGCCTGCATGTCTGCTCGCCAGGATTGGGAGGTGCGGCCGTTCAACTGTGTGCAGCGACCGTACAAACAGTGACCAATCATTAACCTCTGTTTAGCCTAATCCCCCATGCTGATCATGAGTAGCCCCCTGCGTGTGCACTTTTTTCCGCAAAATACTCACTGAATAGACGTGCTCCTTGCTACACGTCTGGTTCCTTGATAGCTGGGCTATAGCTTAGCTGGTTCTGGGAGTCTAGCTAGATGTTGGAGAATTTGCCATAGAGATTTCTGAATCAGTCAGGCTTTACTAGCATAGCAATCCGCTACAAATGTATTGGGCCTTTGTCCAACTTAAAAAAATTATAAACTTTAATTCATTAATCTTAAAGATAGGCTTAAATTTTAGGAGATATAAAGCTTATTGGTTATTGGCAAAAATAGCTTGTTCATTTCATTCATCTCCTATTTGTCTTAAATTGCCTGGAAATGCTCGTTCAACTTCGAAAAAAGAAGAATACTGAATGGTGATTCAGTTTACAGAAATGATATTTTAGTTTTTGAGTAATGCTCAAAGTAAAATTACTATTAACTGCCTCATTCACCACATATATTGCTGATATTGCATCGGCCTCATGACAATGATTAGACTAGGGTTTTTGAGCTTGAAGTATAATAAAAAAAATTGACAAAACATTCAATAGTACCAATTTTAGTCGTCATTTTTTAAAAAAAAATACGATTATCATCTAAAGTATCTTCATTATTTCTTTCAACATTCCGCATATAAAACAAAACCAAGCGATTGCCTAGGTAGTGCTTGCATTTATACCAAGTTTTAATTAACCTTATTGGACCATTACATTTACGACACTGTGAATTCATGAAAAGATGGAAAACGAAATTGTAATTTTGTTCATAATTAAAACTGTTTTGTCAATCTCTTCAATGCTAACGTGGGAATGACATAAATCCAACAATAAACTAACTTATATGTAATAAGAAAACCTAAAATTGATAAGGCTTATGCACAGTCTCTGTGAATAGCAGGATTTTTGGATTTTAATAACATATTTAGCCTCTAATAAAATTACTACTTCATGATTTTGAGGTGTGTATGCTCTCTCTCGCTTGAAGCCACGAGCAAGCCAGAAGTTGTTCTTGTTCCATTGTAGAGCAGATATGCAGCTGACACCTCATTGCTATAAATAAGTTCTAGAGGGTTACTGTTAAGCATGCCTTCGATTTCTCTTCCAGCTATGCTTATGTTCTTATAGCTCCATCTGGTGTAATGGTCATTGAGGTCTCCTAATACTACTGTTTTGAGTTAGATGTTCAGAAGATCAAAGTTTGGTTTATTCTGGGGTGAATTTTAGACTGCGTATATCTTAAAGTGGTTTTGACATTTTCAAACATGCAATCTGATCATTTCGCATATGTCTTGCGTCGTGCCCATACTCTTGACTAGGTCTTAATGTAATATGAGGCCTGCTTTTACTCCTCTCAAGATTCCACTTGCAACTTGCCAGTATTAAGGTAGAAAGTACAGGGCGAAACCTAGGAATTGGAAGCCTTTGAGTTTGTCATTCGTAAGGTTGGGTTACATCATTGTAAATACGTCTATATCATAAGTATGTAGAATTTTCTTGATTTGAATCTTCTTGTCCTGTGACATCCCTCCAGCATTCCACTGAATGATGTGTAGAAGATGTCATTCGCACTTACAAGGACGATTTCTCTTATAGCTTCGTTTCAAGCTGATCATAATAATTTGAAGTCAGCTACCGAGTTATATACTTTTTGTCGTATAAGTATACGTCGTCTAGGGTACACCACGTGGAGGTCAGTCTATTGCACACTCCCATTAAGCATTAATAATAATAAGCCAATGTTAAGTCTTAAAAATGTAAATTAGTGACATATATTTAAGTGGATAAATGTAACGTCAACTAATGAAACTTGGAAAAATTGGGCCAATTGTAATCATCTAATTTAATTATGATTATATATTACATGTCAGCCTTGAGAGTAAATCAGTGTCACGAATATTGCGTTTATTGGTTCATGTGCTGTCGATATCGTCGGTGTTGCTGGAGGAATTGGTGTCGATGTTAGTGGTGTTGGATTAGTTGAGCGGTGGTGGTTGTGAATGTGATGATGTACATGAATGTAGATGTGTGTGTTTGANTATTTCAAAACAAAGTTGCCAATTGTCATTGAACAACAATTTAGCTTGAGAAGTTAGGCTTCAGCTTTTCTTCAATAATTACAGACGATTTTCATTGTGAATGAATGAAAATAAAATTTTTTGGACGACTGGAGAAATCGCTATTGGTTACATTATAACTTGGATGTTTTCTTAATCCCCTTAACGCATTTCATTCGATTCACAAATTCCATTCATATTTTCTATTTAATACACTATCCCAATGCTTGAATTTCACAGAACAATTTATTTACATTATTGGAAAGAATATAAGTTTGAACAAATGTTTTTTTAAAATTAAATATAAATGGGATATTTATCAATCGTATCTGATAAAATTTAATTTGTTAAAATAAGTAGTTGCAATGAATTTTGAGTTAAAAATGCCGACGTAAATGAATGACCCTAAGAAAAATTGACAAATAACTTACATTTCGATCTATTAGATGCTATGGAAGTAACAATATCAAGCAGTGGTGAGTATAAATTTCAATTTATTTATTAATTTTGATTTAAAGCATTAAATTTATTACTAATTTCATAATCATAAAAAAATATAGCAAGGCCTATTGAGCAAATTATGCAGCTACTCGGGACAGATGCATTTTACAATCAGGCATTCTACATTCAGCATTCCACTGAATGATGTGTAGAAGATGTCATTCGCACTTACAAGGACGATTTCTCTTATAGCTTCGTTTCAAGCTGATCATAATAATTTGAAGTCAGCTACAGAGTTATATACTTTTTGTCGTATAAGTATACGTCGTCTAGGGTACACCACGTGGAGGTCAGTCTATTGCACACTCCCATTAAGCATTAATAATAATAAGCCAATGTTAAGTCTTAAAAATGTAAATTAGTGACATATATTTAAGTGGATAAATGTAACGTCAACTAATGAAACTTGGAAAAATTGGGCCAATTGTAATCATCTAATTTAATTATGATTATATATTACATGTCAGCCTTGAGAGTAAATCAGTGTCACGAATATTGCGTTTATTGGTTCATGTGCTGTCGATATCGTCGGTGTTGCTGGAGGAATTGGTGTCGATGTTAGTGGTGTTGGATTAGTTGAGCGGTGG